GTTAAATGCATTGCCAGAACAGGTCGCAGTCATTCGTTCAAGGATTTCGTGGACAGAGTTCGTGTTGTGTAATGCTGGACGTTTTCCTCTCCAAGCATAAAGACATTCAGGAAAAAGGGTGAGAGATTACTGTCCTACCTCTCTTTGGTTTCCGACTAAAACCTTCACTCGCAATAAATGGATGCAAGACCCCTCTGACGCCTTTAACCATCGCGGATATATCGTCTGCATATCTTCCCTGTAATGTCGCTTGGTTTGATTAAGATGACATATTTCCCTCTTGATGTGATGTAAAAGCTCTGGCAAGGATTGGTCTGAGCAAACTTTGCACCGTCAATCACGGGTGAGAGGCAGAAATCTGAAAACACCAACCTTCTCATTGAATTTTGCATTTTAAAACAATTCAATTAATAATAATAATAATAGTAAAGATACTATACCGTACTCCCGACATAGATACTTGCTAAAAGCCCAGACACTTGTTTCGCCGATATTCTGTCGCTGCGTGACACATCTGCGCGGGGTTCGGCTCTTCAGTGGGACCCCCAGCGTTCTCTAGCGGTTTCTGGTATATGAACTCCAGAGAATGATTAGGTGAATAATTTCAGAAATTAATCAGTGCAGGACTTGGAGTTAAATCTCCGGGACATGACTTTTTAGGGTCAGAACCGAAATTTCAATGAACATTTGAGTCGAAGACAATCAACTTCTGTGGAATAATCACGTAATGCCCATTCTACAAACAAGTAGTACTGCGAGTATTATGAATTCCATATGGTAGAAATATTATACCGTACTCCCGACATAGATACTTGCCAAAAGCCTAAACAGTGTTTCGCCGATATTCTGCCGCTGCGTGACACAGCTGCGAGGAGTTCGGCTCTTCATTTATTAATAATAGTATCATACGGTAATATGTACAATGTTATGGTACGGCGAAAACCTGCAACTCCGATCCACAGCGTATACTGACCAGGATTTTACGTCAATAGAGAACGACTCGGAATCCGATTATTGCGGCGTGAACCTGAACTAGACTCCACCGCCACACACCCCATGTTGTTGTTTTTTATTGGTGCACATCCCGATTAACGCCTGCCGGACTCCTAACTAGCCTCTGCTTTCGTCCGGCGCAGCTACCGCGCGGTCCGCTTAAGTGGCCATGATTTTTGTGCGTGCCTCTGTTTCTAGCAATTGGGGCGGGCTCGTATTGGAATTTGAGTTATCTGGGGTGGAAAAATCAGTGCTGCAGTCATCGACACTCACTTTTCTAAAATAATCGCTACTTTAACGACATCAGTAACGCAGTTATATTCAAACAGATTTTTTGCAGACCCAAGCCGAAGCTGTCGATTTGCTGCGCTTGAGCTAGACAGACCGTGAGTAACTAGCAACATCGAGGACTTGACTTGAGAAGCGGAGTCAGCTTACCGGTACTGCCCTTGTCGCCGCGCATACCCATATCACCGAGCTCACAGCGCCGTCCTGGTGGACCCGGGCGACCGGCTGGACCACGGTCTCCCTTGTTGCCCGGCAGTCCTTGCTGACCCTCGCGGCCCTGGTAGCCCCGCTGACCCTTTAGGCCTGGAAATCCTTTTTCACCCTTGATACCCTTGGGCCCGGTGCAGTCACGAGCACTCTACAATAAGAAAACAAAAAGCATACATCAGGGTTAACTCAATAGTAGTGGATGTACAGTCAAATCCTACACTATTTTCCCCTTAACTACGACCGTGGGAATCCAAACAGACGATGCCTGGGGACCTAACTTCGCCTGGCAGCCAAGAATACCAACAATTTACCATCTGAACCACAAATGCATTAACATAGGCTATCTATGGTGGTCCAGGATTAGTCCCTCACTCCGACCGTTTCTATCTACTCTGGGCTTCAGTCCCTTGAGTTCGGAGTCGTCCATCGACGTTCGCTGAAAGCACTTTAATAGTTTATACTGTTCTGAAGAGGAAATCAGGCAAGCACAGGCCAAAAAAATCCCTGCTTGGTCGTTGGAATTAGTGCAAAATCGCAGTTTGGGCCTCAGAAAGTAGACTTACCCCTGGACGGCCCTTGGGACCGGGGTAGCCCGGGAGACCATCCACTCCTGAACGGCCTATTTCTCCCGGTATACCTGCAGGTCCGGGTCGACCGGTGTCTCCGTCAAAACCACGGTCACCCTGCGGAGAAGAAAAGAAAATGCACTCATGAGTACGATTTATACGTCAACCGAAAAAGCTACAACTATCATTGGCTGATTTTAAGGCTTTTGATTGAAGTAATAATAATAATAGTGTATTTTATGGTAATCGGCATTGCCCTTGATGACCATATTGACAACGATACATACAATATAAATGTTAATTGCGCACCTTACTAAAAGTTTGTCAGTACCATATTTGTTTACGAAAAACGTTTCACAGTGCGGAATTGCGAAGGGTGCGGCAGGCGGTCTTTTCGATGAACATATGAAATTTTAAGTGCAATTATATACAATCAGCATAAAATGCAGTCATTTGCGTAGTTGGAGAGGGAAAATTTCATTAAACGTCAGGGATATGTTACATAGGGATTAAATTAAGAAATGAAGTTTATGGCTGGCCGCAGGTAGTCCCGCAGTGAGGGCCGTCGTTTATAAAATGTCAAACGATCCAGCTGCCTTTTGAATACAGCCATTGTATCAGATGTCACTATTTCAATGGGGAGTAAGTTCCACAGTCGAACAACACGCTGGCTCAAGGAAAAATTCCGATGGTCTAGGCGTGTACGCTCCCGCTTGACTCTGTACGGACGACCCTACGGTTGACTCATGGTCGTGAATTCAAAGAAGTTTTCAGATTTGAGCGAGGAGTGTTGTCGTGACGACGAGGAGGATTACAATATTTGTTCAAGAGGAGCATGAAAGACAAGGTTCGACGGTCGTTTTGACTTCAACCTCAAGCTTCCTAAATTTGGACTGCGAAATATGGGCTGTTGTTCAGTTCCTAACTTACTCTTGGTAGAGTAAGGAAGGTTATTTGGTGGATACTCTCTATAAAATAGGCATGTGGTTTTAAGAACACCAGAGATCTGTAAGAATTGTTATACAGTATAATGTTGATGTCTGAGGGTATTCCGAAGAAAAAAACATTCAGAAACCGGCATCCTGTTCTGAGCGAAATGTTTTAGACTACTTATACATGACAATAAATATTACAACCTTCTCTGTATATTCTTTTCAAAAGGGCCAAAATTTTGGATTTTCCTCTACAGTTTCATGCGATACATGAGCAACTGTATATAAGGATTTACGAAAGTACGTGCAGTGTACTGAAAGGTCATAAAGACAATGGCTAGACTTGACTGAAAACCTTAGGAAATGTCACCAATGCCTTCGTCTCATGCGGTTGCTTCAACGTTCTGAGGACTCGGATAGCACAACTTATGGCAGCGAAATATCCAAACCCTAGTATATGCTTTTATCAACTATCAATCAAAGAGTGTCGACTTTCAAACGTAGTTCAAATGACAATGCAACATTGTATGTACAGTTAATGTTACTCACAGGTTCACCAACACGACCAGGATCGCCAATATCTCCAGCTTCGCCCTAAAGCGGGAAATCCTTACAATTAATAGCCATAAAAAGCTTATAGGAACTAAAGTGGCTACCAAATAAATGTAAAATTGCATTACCCGGTCACCTTCACGTCCCGGAAGACCCTTTTCTCCTGGGTATCCCGGCGGACCATCGAGGCCCTATAATTTCATATTGTCTGATAGATTAGTAAACACACAAACACGTGCAGGTATAACGTAGGGAATAAAAAGTAAAACTCACCGCCTCTCCAGCACGTCCCTGTTCGCCTTTGTCCCCTTTCGGACCCGCGGGTCCCTGGAAGTCAAAAGAAAGTTAAGGTTTTCAGTTGGTATCAGGCACTTGCTATCGGCGTGTCGGGGAAAGGTGCAACAAATAGGCCTACTTATCCGAATTAAGTAGATGTTTTCGATATGCTAAACTAGACTTACGTCGTAGCCAGGCCGACCCCTAGGCCCCGATGTCAGTTCCTGTATTGAACAAGGTGTACCATCGGGACCCCGAACGCCTCTCCAGCCCTTGTCACCCTTTTGTCCTTCGATCGTAATTTCGGGGCCATCGATTCCTGGGGGACCGGGTAGACCTTGTAAACCTTTGTAGCCCTGTGAATTAATATTATATCGAAAGAAAGCTTTTAATAGAAAAAGAAAAGGAAAAAAGGATTTTCCGTATAGCATATTGAAGATCTACACATAAGACGCATCTTTCGAGGGCGAAATATGTCTACTGCATGGATTCTCATGACATACCCCCAGTCAACCGTCAGGCACGTCATGAGAGTATAAAACAGCTAAACTTGAATCATGCGCGTGGATTTTGATGTCACGCACAAAACTCTCTAGGACACGAGGAGACGAACGTGGTCAGTATGACCTGGCAACGGGAAGCACGGGATGACGATAAGCATGAAAGCGAACCGGCCACAGAATGTTTTAAAGTTGCTCGGGTGACGGTTGAATATCCAGGTGTTGTGGTTTTATTACTGTAACATGCCTACTTACTTGATTTTTTTCAAACATGCTATATTTGGTTTACGTCTCTGGGCAAATTGAGGGAAATGATTAAATTTAGAATCAAAATAAAGGCATTGTTTAATGTTAGTGTTAGGTTAGGTTTGCTTGCAGCCTACAATCCTATCTAATTCGGTCTTCTTTAACCAATAATCCTTGATCTCTTGTTTCCGCTCCTTTTACGCGTCCCTAACTCGTATCTTTCAAACTGCGCGACCTGTTCCGACAAGCAAAACAAAGATGACAGAAATGCAAGATTTTTTCAATGCTTTAGCATACTCCGTCAACTTCCGCGTTCATCTACCCTACTAATGAAACTAATATTAACATCCTTCCGATGTTTCAGAAGTCCCTGTTTTCTCTTTTCTCAGTGAACCTACATATTCAGTCTTTGTCATTGTGTGTTTTTGTTCGTTTTTCATGCCCCTGACGATGAGCTCTCAACCCGGGTTTGGTCGTATACTCGATAGAAAAATGTTACTTCTCTGTTAATAAAATTCTTCGAACGCCTGCCTTCTGTCTATATACATAAATGTATGAGGCAGAATGGTATTACCGACAAAGACAAGGAAGACTAGAATGGCAATTTCTGGCTTATTAGCCGTCGTCAGCCAGTCATACCCAACCCCGAAGTGTGGAAAACCCGAGGCTCGAACGCGCGACCTGTTAGTCAGATGTCCACGCCTCAAACCACTGGGTCACAAGCCGGTTGCCCTATATATGCATACAAATTAAAACACCAATGTGTACGCAATGTGTACCAAAGTGTACGTAACGACCCAATACTATAAGAAGACACTTCGGCAGGCAGAGTTTGATTTAGTAGATCGCAAGTGCTGCATATTTTTATTGTGTCAACAGGTTGTCGTGCGAGCCTTTGAATTGTTTCGATGCACGAATTGTGAACGTAAGGAGTGTGCTGGTCAGCAAACATAATCTTCTCCCCGTCAATCCGCATACACAGATTTTGCACTTAACTATGATATTATACGGTGTGTTTTCTTTGACAAATTTACTTTTTGCTTTTTTATAAAACGAACTGAAGCTTGAAAAGAAAAGTTAAGTTTTCACTGCTTTTACCGGCCCTCATATGGTTTTTGGCTTGCCTTTGCGGGAGTGAGCATCACTCTCGCGATTCCCGAAATAGTAATCAAGAGGGGCTGAATGGAGCTGAGCAGTCTTCAGGAAACTGGCCGGATTAATACCACAAAATTCGGACCGATAGGACTAGCTACTTAACTGCATGCCACAAACCCTACTCGGACATATGATCCATGCGAAACAGCAGTGCGGTTGTCATTAAATTTAATGCAGATTTCAATAAAAAAAAAACACTCAAATCCTCCAGCCTTCTGATGTAAAACCAAATTTTTAAGTACTGAACGTCGTCAGACAGATTGGGAGAAGAGGCAATTGCTAGATGAAATAAATCTGATTGAATCTCACTCACCTCCGGACCACGCAGGCCGCGCTCGCCTGGAGGACCGTCGGGTCCACGATCACCTTTGACGCCCTAAAGAGTGGACAAGGGGGTTCCAATACAAGCGTAGTTAGGATATCCAGAAAGAGAAAACTATGCAATAACGGGGGCAGTCAGTTCTTTTGTCTTCTTGAGTGCAAGGTAGCTGTGAGCTGAAATACGAATCTAGAAGCCTGTGAAAGCAAACACCCTACTGGGCTGCTTTGCATGCTGTTATCAGACGATATCACGGCTAATAAAATTTATCAAACGGAAAATCTGCTTGACATGGTAATTCTCCTACAGTGAACGTGCTCAAGAGACAACTGGATGCATACCTGCTGAAAGGCAACCCGAACTGCCGAAGCCTGATTTAACGGATTACTGAAATGACTATAAATATACTACTAACAAGATTTAAACAGATCCTATTTTGTGCGTCAAACTTAGCCCATATTGAAATTTTCACAGTCCGAATGCGGTGAACAAAGTTTTTTGCAATTATTTCTATTATTATTATTTCTAATTATTATTATTAATAACCCTTTCGCCTTTATGTTACATTATTAGATTTATGAATTCTCCTTACCACAACTACAAGCAAAAGGTTTGCAATTTAACTATTTTCATTTATATCCGTACCCTCTAAATGGAGTTTTCAGGGTTTCTGTCGTTTACTCCAAATATATTGACAGAAAAGGACAAATACAATGAGCTCGCTTTGAGCAGGCTTGATTTTAGCCTGCCTACGGGATTGGCGTTGTGGTCCTCCATGTCGTGCTTCAGTCTGCTAAAATTCGCAAACTCAAGAACGTGCTTGCAAACTGGAGGGGTTTCCACAAGGCAGAATATCTACCCGATTTCCAGTCAAACCTCAGATTTACGCAACAACATTTTCAACTTCCGTGAAGCTTAATCCAACCTGGTTCACAGAAACAGTCTTGATTAACGATAGTTATCAGGTCATTTAATTCCCAGAGTACGCATCTTTTTGATTTCCTAGGAAGGAACATTTCAAGTTAGTTCAACTTTGATAGATTTATTTATGCGTGGAGGGCACAAACGACAAGAAGACTTCTAGCGTGTTCGAAGTTCTGAGAAAAAAATGCTCCGAAATTCGATATTGCTATTTCGCGTCGGATCTCTTCGTACAACCAGAATCCAATAAACGTTTTTGCTATCTCGCTTTCTAAAGAAATATTCTAGCTAGCACTTTACGTTTTGCATGCTTGGAGAAAGCGGCCTTTTTAAAATACTAGTACACCAAATTGTAGATATCTATTCCATTATATTTTAAGCGCCTAAGAGATTTGGGGTAAAAATTTCAAAAAAGAACATACTTACATAGGGACCCGCGTAACCAGTATCACCTCGGACTCCCTAAACGAAAGAAATCAATTGTTAAGGCATATTTTGGACAAACGCAGTGTCCAGAAATGTAGGATAAGCGCCGGTTTGCTGATGAAAGTCAGTTAGAAAGTTTAGAGAATAAAAATGGAGTCCCCGATTCTCGTAACTATATTAACCCTAGGTGTTTCAGAAACATTTATGTCATTCTGTACTCCTTTAGAGGACAGAGTTATTTTCACACTCTCAATCTCAACAATGAGAGCGTTAAACTTTTTCAGAAAATGATCCTTATGGAATACACAGGCAGCTTCACCACTGGACTGTCGTTTTAAGCGGACGACAGTGGCCCTGCCTATCCGACATTTAAGCGCTAGTGAAAACACAATAAGCGGAATGTAGCATTTGCCAAAGAAAGCGTAGCAAAGCAAGTCCCCCCCACCTATCCACACACAAGCACATGCAAAGCCTGTGGGTGTGTGGATCGAAAAGTCCGATAGGATTGATGCTAAGGTTGTACTTGTGTTGTCCAGCCGTGTGTATACACACCATCTGGGAGTTAACCGCCGGACCTGCCAATGCTGCTACCTCCTCATTCGTTGGCTCCGAGCCCAAAACCTAATGTGTTCGCGAATGCCAGAAATGTTAAAGTGCACAGGCTGACATCGCCATCTGCAACAGCCACAAACACTCGAGCTGCGATGGAGCCCTGAGGCCACAGAGGAAGGGGCAATTAGGCGCACGCAAGTTTACGACGCATGCATGCGGGAATGCGCGCGGGCACTGACGCACCTGGGGCGTGTAGGTGCGCCCATTCGCACACAAACACACGCATCAACTGGAGTTGCCTTAGGCGCAACAGGTAGGTGCTTGGTGTAATTGCACAACCCCAACTGCTGTTGCTGCTGTTACCCTGGAGTGACCGGAGACCACACGCCTACGCGTGTGCCCAACTGGCACAGCGCAGCGCAGCGGTCTAACCGCACCGGGAGGGGAGGAGGGGGATAGGAACACGGACTGAGGTTGGGAACGAGGCCCGTTTTTTTGCAGACTGTCGACCAGTGAAAATTCTCTTCTCACTGATCGTGATCCCTTCCCCTCCCCCGCCTAAGTGAGTTACCTCCTCCGCGATGTTTCACACGTGCACCTGATAGCACAAGTTGGATGTCACAGATTAGTCGCAGATTAGAACGGATGAGCCAGTAACTTTTCGTGCGCACTTGGAGGTTCAGCCCAGCATGACACTTTCGGACCAAAAATGTCGAAATTACCAAATATAGACTTGGCCCCTTTTTTCAAATGCGTATTCCGATGAAGTTTTTAGCTGTTGCTGGCTTGTGTAAGTATTCCGAGAATTGATTATACAGTTAGTGAACCAAATGCTGTCTAGAAAAGTAATGACCCTGCACGAAAATAAACATATAAAACGCCGTAAGCAGGATTACGCAATCGCCCGAATGTGGTTGGTAGAACAAAATCAACTAACGTTGCCCCAATCATTGTGGACAAGTTTGCACTTTTTAACTTTCAGAAGGGGTTTTGTACTTTTTCAAGAGATCGCTCCAGATGAACATCAAGGCAGAAATAATTTGTGCTGAAAATCGGGTAGTTTTATTCGCAAGGTAGGCAAACGAAACTAAGGAATCAGCATAATGGAAAAAGGGATGCCACGAAAGGGACTTAGATAACGAAATTGTTTTTCAAATGCATTGCGGCTGAGCTATTGCAACCTGTTTTTAACTGTAAAAGTTGTTATCTTTCACAGCTTGACAGAAATAGCCGTTAAAAGGTTGAGATTTAGGGACCCGATCAATTTCTACGTATTAAATATATATGCATATATTTCGAATGATAGAGATATGCATATATGCATATATGCAGATATGCATATATAAATGGTAGAGGGAAGAGCATCGATCGTTATTACGGAACTCACCCGACCCATTGTACCTTAGAGCTCTCTCTCTCTCGAGTCCAACTAGCATCCGCACAGTGGCGCATCATAGAGGTGAAATGTTATTACGGACAAAGACAGGGGAGACTTGAATGGCCATTTCTGGCTTATTGGCTGTCGTCAGGCAACCATGCCAACTACCCCAAGGTGTGCAGGACTTAAGATCTGAGCCCGGATTTCTCGTCACTAAGCAGTATTCGACTCAACTCTCTGTCACTAGCCACGAGTCCATTTTCCTGTCACTTCTACTGAAGTGGAAGTTTGCTTGCTTGTCCTATTCTACCATGGGGTTAAAGCTAGTGTCCCCGCAAACAGTCGCTCAGCGACCGAAACGGGATGACAACTTATGACTTTTTGGCCATTGAGAGCCAGCCTTATATCAACATCAAGTTAGGGAGTCTGGAATTGGCACCAGGATTCTTCGGTCAGTCGGCGTTAATTCGAACGCTCTACCGGCAAGCATTAGTTTTCGCTATTCAACTGCATGCTTGAGACTCTTGATTGAACTCCATGGCGGGGTTGGACTAACCTGATCGGTTATACCGTGCTCCCGACAAAGCCAAGACACGTATTTTGCCGACGTTTCTGCTGCTGCTGCTGCTGCTGCATGACACAGCTGCGGAGGGGGGTGGTCTTCTCAGTGGACCGCCAGCGTCCTATACTATATTTATATAAATGGTAGGAGTGCGCCCATCGATCGCGTTACGGAACTCACGCGTCCCTTTGTGCCTTGGGGCTCAATCTGAAACCCCACCAGCAGCCGAACAGCGGCGTGTAGCATGGGCAAAAGAGTATTACTGGCAAAGGCAAGGAGGACTGGAGTCGCAGTTTCTGACTTATTAGCCGTCATCAGGCAGTCACACCCAACTCCGAGGCGTAGAACACCTGGACTTTGGTGCCGCGACCAGTGTATATACCCGATCGCATCAGACATGACTAAGAGCACGTGGCTCAGTAATAAGATGCCTTGGACTTCTTAACAACACGCCAGGGGCCGAGCCCCATGTTTTATACACTTCGGGGTTGGGTATGACTGGCTAACGACGACTAATAAGCCAGAAAAGGCCATTCCATTTCCCTTAATCTTTGTCGTTGTCATTATGCATATATATATATATATATCAGCGAGGAGGGACGACAGAGAATGCGGGTAGATTGATACAGCACTGTTTTGGGCTTATTCTGCCTTCATTTAGCCAATCACAACCCTGACCACCAGCAGCTGAGACCAGAAACACAAACATGCGCACAGACGCACCTGGCGCAGTCAGTCCACCACTGAGGCCTACCAGCTGCTGCTGGAGGTCTCAGCTGCTGGTGGTCAGGGTTATGATTGGCTGAATGAAGGCAGAATAAGCCCGAAACAGTGCTGTATCAATCTACCCGCATTCTCTGTCGTCCCTCCTCGCTGCTATTATGACTTGGCCGACTTCGGCCTGGTAATTGGTTGCCTGTTCGTGATCTTTGTCACACATACGGAGCTTGTTTGCTTTGTGAAGCCAATAGATCGGTGTGCGCCCATTCCTGATTGATATATATATATATATATAGTACAAACCGTACACTTATGGATAGTTGCTACTTTGTCACCAGGTGACTCATATCCACAAGATGCTTGTTATCAAATCAGCAAACAATTTAAACAAATTCTTCAGCTGATTAATTATTTACTGTCTGACTATTCTGCCAACAAACTACAAGTTCAATAGCATTATAATATAATCGCAAGCAGGCCTGTATGCAAAAACCATGAGATTGTATATTTTTACGTACATCTTGTCCCCGAGGTCCAGAATCTGCAAAACCAGGAGCGCCTTTTGGTCCGCTGGGTCCCGGTTCGCCTTTTTGACCATCACGTCCTGGAAAACCGTTAAGACCTGGCTCTCCGTCAGGACCCTTGGTGGAAGCGGGGGGGGGGGAGAAGCGGTTAGAGTCACTTCTTAGTTACGATATTATTTTACTTAAAACAAGTTCGTGGAAACTGTTAAAAAATTAACAAGGAATTCGAGGGGCAGTCAACACGACAGAGAAATGTCTTGAGGCCACAACTGTATTTACTGGAGGTTCGACAGTAACCTTACAACAAGGCCGAATCAAACAAATTCGATTAACTGTCCAGCCAAAAGCGCAGTTAAATCTACAATATCTCCCGGTTTTTTGAGTGTACCTGACCATACGCGGCATATGCGTAATCTTGATATCTTCTGAATCGGGACACTTATACTAGATTCTAGTTCCATACTCAGGCTTTTCCGGTTAATAGTCGGATGCTTTTAATGGGGTCTTTGCCTTCCTGAGGACAACTTTATAGGCAACTTAGGGGTATCTCATGGGAATGCGAGATGATCATGGTTTATGTGATGCCTGCACAAGGTTATATGCAGATGAAGCATTTGGTTACGGATGTTTTGCAGTCTAGCACTCTGTAGACAATAAATACTACACAACAACTGTTCATGTCTGTAAAAACATCCAGCCGATGTCACGTTTCTCCCAGGATTCCGCCTCATGGTAATTTCAAAGAACCCTACCGATTAAGCTATGTCAAACACCAGAAGGGCATGGGGATTTGCATTCGCAAAGACTGAACAGTAGTCAATTTCACCACGATATAGAGGTCAGCTCACTTCCGGCAGTCATTTGGAGTGTGCATCAAAATTTGAAGAACTTACCCTCAGGCCCGGACACCCTGTGGCTCCCTTTGCACCCTTCGGACCCCTTAATCCCGGGTGTCCCTAGAATTTTCAAAAAACAACACACCCATGAGATGAGAATCAAATTTTTAGTGCACAGCAGAAACCGCTGTCATAATTGCATAAAACCACCCTGATTATCAATCACATGCGGGAACTATAAATTAAACTACGCAGCTTACCTTTCCAAGTAGCCTAATTGACAACTGCGACAGAGAGTGCATTTCGTAGACTTTTATTATTGACATTTCCCATCGAATATCTTTTTAGCCTCCCACAAATGAATGCGGTCATCTTATTCAGTCCCTAAATAATAAGTAGTTCACGAAAAATGTCAGGCCGGCCACGAAGCAAAAAATCGTAGTTGCCAAGTCAGTTGGAATCTCTGGTTGATATTCGCACATTTCTGAGCAACGATCCACGCGGGGAAATGAGCCTACGATAATCTTTTGTCATCAGCGAGTATCAGCCAGTTTTCAAACTACAAACAGGCGCCACTTCAGACAACAGTTTGGAGGTCAGTTTCAGCTGTCAGAGGTAGACAGGCAAGTGTGGGGGGACGTCTAAGGCAGTGGTCTGTCTATAGGCTTTGAGGCAAACCGGCATTTTCGCTTCAACGACTTTTGTATGTTATGTCGTATTTGCGCACTTTCGGGGCACGCTCTGAATTTTCATTGGTTGATTTATGTCACCTAATAATACCCAGCACAGACTCACATATCACTTTTTGAGGCTTGGGAAAATCGCTCTAGTCTTAAGGAAACTAATAAGTACTCGAAGAAGCGGAGGATCACATTGATATACTTTAAAGTTAGTTTGCTAGTGGCACTCGAAATAAAACGGCGACCGTAGTTACTCACCATAAATCCATGAACGCCCGGATAGCCAGGAGAGCCTTGGACACCCTGAAAGGAAAGTGTTCAAGCCAGATGTGAGAAGGCGACAATACAACTTTGTTAAACTTTACTGAAAGAGCTGGACGTAAGACCTGGGCTCCTTGGACTAAGTACCGGTTCCTATGTGAAGTTGATCTTGAAGAAAAGACGTACTGTCCGTATATATTAAATCCGCCAAATAGTGTCTTAAATAATAATCTTAAAGTCCCACCGATATGTGATCAACAGGGCTTTCTGATAAAAGCCCAGGCAAGCGGGTTGGAAATTTCTTCCAGAGGATAGTGAACTTCTTTTGGGAAAAGTTCTCGGTAGTGACTAAACAGAGTTTTTATCATCGCAAGGGTCGGGTTAAATGATTGGAATCCTGCCGACAAAGGAGATGCCACCACTATTTTGAACAAAACAGACAACACAGAAAATATGATGTCACTCTTAAAAGATGATTTAACATACGAATCTCTAGCTGCCGACCCCACCAACTCACAGACCTCATGTATTGAAAAAACAATGAAACGCCCTACAGAAAGGAAATTACTCTCGATGGTTCTTGCCAAGTATTTAAAACAGGATAAACAAGCAATTGCCAAGATGTTTGGCCTTCCCAAACTTCATAAAACTTATATTCCGTTGCGACCAATGGTCTCCCTAATCAGTTCACACAACTATAAGATATCGAAGTGGCTATTTCGCCAACTACATCCTCTTACGAAGAATTACGAGAAATCCATTCAGGATTGAAACGAGTTTCTAGACAAATAAAACAGTGTCAACATTATATGTGAGGAGATTATGGTGTTATTCGATGCGGTCCCGCACTTCACTTCGATTCCGCTAGATTTGGCGAAGAGCTGCACCGACGAACTCCTTTAAACGTACATTTCTGAGGTGTTTCCAGAGACTTTACTTTAACTCCTTGATCCTTGTCCGGAGACAAATTTTTCGTGCTCCAAACAATGTACCGGAAATAAAAAGGTGCTTTGATGGGTTAACACATATCTGGTTACTTGGCAGAGACCGAATTGCAGAATTTAGAAAACATAGCCAT